GTATTTGGCGCAAGAAGTACACTTCACTGCAGAGCCCTCAAGAGCCAGACATAGGCCTAAAAGTTTATTAGCCTCAAAAATAGTGTTGCTATTAAAGGTTGTGCTACTCCATAAACCTTTAAAACTTTTTTAAAGTTAGAAAGATACCAAGGCTTGTGACTTGCGTTCTGGGGATCAATAAAGTCCAAATCATCGTTGGGCTGTCACCCAATGAGTGACGTCTGAGGAAGATACAAAATGTAGATTAAACATTGTTGAGAAAATGCTGCATCTCTTGCATTTATTGAAGTAGAGGAGCCTTATTGTTTACCTTTTTAATATAATTTTTGTTAAGTTTCAATTGCTTGGTTTTCATGAAATTAGCCTGTTTTCCTCTTAAAGTGTAACAGATTGATGCATCTCCAAAGATCATCTTAAAGGCAGTGCTGGAATTGGGCCGGTACTCACCGGTACGCAGTACCGGCACTTCTGGTTCTGACCCATGGAGTACTGGCACTTCTTGCTCAGTACCGGCATGCTGGCGGTACTCCGGTACTCATGCACCGTGCCAGTACTCAACACTCTCCCGCCGTTCTTATTATACATCCATATATATATATACAGCCGCCCGGTACTCAGTAGATGCGTCATGAGGTGCCGAACGGACATTCTCATCGCTCTAACCGCTGGAGTTTCACAGCGGCTGTCAGCTGTTTACTCCTGTCATTCAAACAGAACGTGCTGGAGAGGGGGCGGGGCTTATCTTCTCCATGTAAATACTGTGGTGGAAACGACTGTCAAAATTAACCTATTTGACCGTGATTTAATAGTAATACACGTTTCAAAATAATAATAATAATAATGCCGAAGTAACAACATACTGAAAACTGTTAGTAAAACCATGTTTTAATGCTTTACAATTGACATACCTAGATGCACGTGTGTTGTGTTTATGCAGTGCAACTCCCACCCAGTGGGTGGCTATGTAGAGTGATAGAACAGAGCAGGCACGCCCCCGAGAGAAGGAAAGCAAGTCACGTCACAAATTAGCATTTCTAAAATGTTAGCGTGGATTAATAAAAGTGCAAAAAGACAGCGGTTGTCGCCGGAAGAAACTTCAAATACAGAGAATGCTGTGCCTGTGTTGGAAATTGTGTCTGATGGGGAGCTTTCTTTGGTTGATCCTCCTGCTCCAAGTTCTAGTGCATTAGCATTAGCACTAGCTCCGCCGCCTCCTCCAGAGCCTCTAACGTTAGCTGCTGCTGGCGCAACTGCCACCACCAACACCGGGCAAAGCGATGCACCTGACTGCTGGACAACGGACCAGGTGCAATATTTTTGCAAGACCAATGCATGGCTCCTTCTTAAAGATAAGAAGCTAGGATGTCGGATATGCAGAGATGTCAAATCTTTGGGAATACACACTGGACAAGGACTGAAACTGTCAACTGAATGGGGTGAGTGTGCAGTGTCTCATTTCGGTGTTGACAAGGGCAAACAACAAGCTAGCCTGAGAAAAAAAATCAAAGAACATAAAGAATCACAAGCCCATGTAAAAGCTGCTGACATCCTTTCATCTGCTTCACGTGAAACTATTCAACATCAAGTGCAGTCTATGCATAAATCTGAATTAGACACCACTATCAGAGTTTTTCGAACGGCATATAAAATTGGCAAACATAGCCGGCCATTCACAGACATGCCAATTGATTTGAATGTACAGAAACTGAATGGGCTGAACGTGGGCAGGGTTTTGCACTCCAATAAAACCTGTGGCGAAATCATCGACCACATAGCTCATGAGCTGAAGAAAAAAATGGCAAAAGACATTACAGAAAACCAAAGAAAACTCTGTGTTTTGGTCGATGAATCTACCACTATTAGTGGTAAAACGGTGCTTGTTGTGTGTCTACGCTCAGCATTAGCTGATGCTGAGCCCGAAACGTTTTTTTGGGAGCTGATCGAGTTGGATGGAACAACGGCTGATGACATCACAAAGGCGTTAATGGAGTGTCTTGGAAGAGATTTTAACGAGGACTTTTTAGGTCAGTGTTTCGTTTCTTTTGCATGTGATGGGGCTTCAGTCATGCTAGGGAAGAGAACAGGCGTTGCTACCCAGTTGTGTAGTAAATTCCCAAGCCTGTTTGTGTGGCACTGCTCCAATCATCGTCTAGAGCTGGCAGTTGGGGATGTGGTCAAGGAGGTCTCAGGGCTCAATCATTTCCAGATCTTTTTTGACAAACTCTATTCCTTGTTCCATGCCTCCCCCAAAAATCAGAGGCAGTTAGCGCAGTGTGCGCAAGCAGTCGGACAGCGTCTCCTGGTGATAGGGCGTGTTTTGTCCATCCGCTGGGTGGCTTCAAGTGAAAGGAGCGTCAGAGCAGTCTGGGAAAACTACCGAGTGCTTCATGATCACTTCACAAATGCTGCAAACGACACGAGCAGGGATTCCAGAGACAGAGCAAAGTACAAGGGCCTGGATGATGTGCTCACATCTGCAACGTTTGTCAGCAATCTGGGACTGATGTACGATGCGCTCACAGAGCTCAGCGACCTCTCTCGGCAACTCCAAAAAAGAGAGATGACACTGCCTACAGCAGATAGGCTCTTAACTCGAGAAATAAGAGTTTTTGAATCCATGGTCAACATGCCTGGCCCACACATGACTACAGTTCATACAGCTCTAGCTGAGAAGTCCTTCAAGGGTGTTGCCCTGCGTGAGAATGGCAGGCTTGTACAGATTCATGCAGGTCAGTTTTTCCGCAGTATGGTAGAGAATCTGAGACACAGAATGACTTCCACAACCTCCTCTCATGTCAGCACAAGAGAAATCCCATTACATGGCCGGGAGGCCCGGGACAATCAGCTAATCCAGGACATGAAAGTTATCCATCCTGGAAGTTGGCCTGAAAAGGAGTTAGACGTACAGTATGGGGACGTAGAGGTGCTATGTTTGTGCGAAGTGCTGAAAGTGGACAGAAGAGAGACTGTTCAGGGCTTTCGCGAATACAAGGAAACCAGGGCATCCCGTACACCTGCTGCCATGGAGCCTCTACTGAAAGCAGTCCGAACCATCGCTGTCTCCACTAGTGAGTGTGAGTGGGCATTCAGCTGCATGAACGATATCCTTACTGCAAAAAGGAATGCTCTCTCTGTCAGCCGACTGTCCAGCCTGGTTTTCATTAAATGTAATGGACCATCACTAGGACAGTTCAATCCGGAACAGTATGTGAGGTCCTGGCTGGCAAAGGGAAGGAGAAGTGCTGATGAAAGAGCCTGTCCAGCTCCAGCCCCTGATACTGATGTCCCCAAGGCCTTCTGGAGCCTTTCTAACAATGTGAAGTATATTGCAAAGCAGCTCACCCAGTGAGAAGACTTTTGGCATAATGTGCCGATTTGTACAGATCCTGGAGATAGAAGGACTTCAGACCAACTAGGGAGTTATCTGATCAGCTTGGTGTTCAATGTAACTCTTTACCATGGCTCAGACTTTGTTACTTGCAGTTACAGTTTCTCATTTTAGATTGTGCAAATTTTGCATTTGTTTTTACATGTTCTTTGTTCATGCTCTTTATCATTTTTCTGAGTTGGAAAGTTAGATTGCATCATAGTTTACTTTATACATATTTGTATTCTTCAGTGGTGAAGTATATTGCAAAGCAGCTCAGCCATGTGAGAAGACTTTTGACACTTTTTCGTTTTTCGTTTTCTGAGTTGGAAAGTTAGATTGCATTCAAAATGTACAGAAATACTTAATTTTGTTAAAGCTTTTTATAAAAAATGCTTCTGACCAGAGCTTTGTTTCCTTGTCATTAATGTTGAACACCACCAGAGGGGCTCTCACCTGAAAGGTCTCTGCTTCATGTGTCTTCAGCAGAAGATCTAGACTTTGATTGCTATATTTTCAGTTAATATTGACCTTACTGAGCTTTAGCCATATCCGCTGCCTATCATAAAAAATGTTAAGTACAGTGAACCTTTCTAAAATATACAGTAGTAAAGAGACAAACCCACCAGCATTATAGTAGCCAAATTCTTGTTTGTGGGCTGTATATATAAAATTGACTTGAAAAAGTTGCTGATTTTAGAGTACTGGCACCTTTTTCATTCCAATTCAAGCACTGCTTAAAGGCTTCGGAAACTGGGGACAGAAGGGGAGAGGGTACCAGGAAGGCACTTTTTAAGTATTTGAGTGAAACAGGTTGATTACAATAATTTAAAATAACGTAAACACAGTGGTACACTTCCACAAGTGGTGATAGGATGACATGGTGATACACACTCTTGTACAGTAGATGGCGGTATGCACCTTAAAGTTAATAAGTTGATGAACCTGTGTGTGTGTGTGTGTGTGTGTGTGTGTGTGTGTGTGTGTGTGTGTGTGTGTGTGTGTGTGTGTGTGTGTGTGTGTGTGTGTGTGTGTGTGTGCGTGTGTGTGTGTGTGTGTGTGTGTGTGTGTGTGAATATGCAGTGGTGTTCATTTGTAAATCATTTAGTATAATCACACAAATTCTGTGTTTTATATTTAATAATTCTGTGTTCTTCATTTATTGAACGTGCAATACCTGACTAGGTCTGAGAGGCGGAACCTCTGAAATGTAGTCATGTACTCAGAAGATTATTTTTGTGGGGACTTCCCCCTTCATATTGTGTGTCCCTCACGTTTCCTCTTCCCTTTTTGCGAATGTTCCATGTGAGAAGAGTTGGTGTGAGGAGAAAAACAATTGAATAACGACTGATGTGTTGTATGTTGTCAGATTATCATTGAATAAACGGAGATCGCCTCAACTGTGTGCTGGCTCGGGTCTCATCCCTCATCAACACATTACAAGCAGACACCGCTTAACCACACGTGTGTGTGTGTGTGTGTGTGTGTGTGTGTGTGTGTGTGTGTGTGTGTGTGTGTGGTGTGTGTGTGTGTGTGTGTGTGTGTGTGTGTGTGTGTGTGTGTGTGTGTGTGTGTGTGTGTGTGTTGTGTGTTGTGTTTAATGGGGGTTTTGAACCTCCAATCTTGAAGCATTGAAGTCTTCAATGTTTTTGTTACTATTATGTTGGAACTTGAGCATGATTCCTATCAGAGGGAGGGGCTGCAGACGGGGAGGGAAGTTGAAAGTGAAAGTATGAAGTCATACTTGTCAGACTGCCAGACGCCATTTTACAGCTTGACGGAGCAGGAGGACAACAGGGTGAGTGTTAACACCAGGATCTGCTTTCTAACACATTCATTATTTACTCTGTCAAACTGGATGTCAGAAAATAACTTATTGGTTAAAAATGTGCGTCATAGAGTCCAATGAGACTTCTGCAAGTGTTGTGAACTTTTATTATTTCCTGTTTCCTGATTCATCAGAGTTACATGTGACGCAGTCAAAATGGAGAGCGGCCTGAAGGCTGACTGATTTCATGTCTTTTAACCAAGTTTATTATTAAGATGGTTTAGATTGAAACAAGTGTGTGTGTGTGTGTGTGTGTGTGTGTGTGTGTGTGTGTGTGTGTGTGTGTGTGTGTGTGTGTGTGTGTGTGTGTGTCTCCAGTGTTACTGGTTTGTCTCTCAGACTGGAGAAGATGAGTGATTTAAAAGATGAGGAAGAGGACACATCTCCAGTCCCCAGCTGTCTGTCTCTGAAGAGTGACCGGTCTATGTGGGAACCTATAACCTTCAGAAATGACCCTGGACCCTCAGACACAAAGTAAGAGTCTGTTTCTACTGTAACCTGACCTGAAGAGGATTCTGTTTTTATGTCATCTGATAATCTAAACTGTTTAATGAAACCCAGTAGAGTACCTTAACAAAGTTGGACTCTTGCTCCTTGTCATCGTCAGCAATAGTGTAGCGGCCAAAATCATATAGAAATAAAACAGATAATTAACTTAAAATAATGCAGCCACTGCGGCACTAGTTAGCAGATCTTACGCAGGGCAATGATCCAAGTCCAGACAAGATTATCCGTTGTGCATTTATTATGATCCAATATCATTGACAATGAACAGGTTTCCTATGGTTGGTTCCTTTAAGCCTTTCCTATGGCTTTCCTTTCTTGTGTTTGGAAAACCCTGTTAAAAAACCGTTTGCCTGCTAGTGCTCTGGCTCCCACCTCCACCTGTCTCCAATATGTACAATTACACCAGGTGCTCTAATCACAGTGCCCAAACATGCCTTCAAAATAAGAGCATAGAAACGACTTTAACTTATGACACTAACTAAGAATACATTTACAATAAACACTATAAACAGCAAGACAAATAAATGTTAAACTATTAAATAATATTAAGAGACATATAGCTCCAACAAATAGTAAATGATCTACCAGTGAAATCATCCTCACACTCTACATGTTGGACTTTGTGTTAAATTAAGCAAATAAAATACAAATATGAAAACGTTTCACACTCAAATGCATTTTAACAACAGAAACCCACAATCAAGACTCAAAAACTCTAAAGATCTTTAATCAGGTGAACAGTCATAGATCAAAATCAACTCTTTAAATAAACTAATGATGTTTAAAACATGTGTTGTTTCCACAGACAGAGAGCAGAGTCTCCAGTCCCCAGCTGTCTGTCTCTGAAGAGTGACCGGTCTATGAGGGAACCTATCAAATTCAGAAATGAACCTGGACCCTCAGACACAAAGTAAGAGTTTCTACTGTAACCTGACCTGAAGAGGATTCTGTTTTTAGTACATTAACAAAGTTGAACTCTTGCTCCTTGTCATCATCAGCAATAGTCAAGTCTCCTCTGATTTGGGTGCAGTTTCCCCTTGAAAGGGACTTGAGGCATCTACTGACTTTGAACAGGGTTCCACTCCAATGACACAGCTTTACTTTTCAGTCTTTTATTTCAGCAGTTTACTTGAAACAAGAAAGATGCATTTAGACAACTAGCAAGTTATTAAAAATAAACAAAGCATGCAAACAATACACTGACACTGCTGCCTTAATTGTGAATATTTTACAAATAAACTGGGCAGACTAAGCACAGAAATATTCATTTTAAACATACATTCTCTAAACCCGAGCTCTTTTAAAATCTCTGCAGATTGACTGGATTTTATTAGAAAGGTTTTTAGTAAATCAAATGAATTATTTATAACAAGAAAGATTGTATTTATTTATTGTTCTTCTTAAATTCAATGTATTTAACCTCCTAAAATCGTATATATCCTTTTAACACCTATCAGAGTAGGCTAATTGCAGGATGTTAAAAATAAATAGGTCCTTCTTTTATCTATCCTTTTAACAATAACTAACAGAGAGTCTAATGCTGCATTCACAATGCGATGTTTGGGGGCGGTGCGATTACATGTAAAGTCAATGCAGAGATGCGGACAGACGCAAATTCACTCCGGCGGCGAGCATGAAGCGGTGGACGTGGTGCGAATCACGCGATTGAAGCGGGCCGCCTCAAATGCAAGAGTTACATTTTTTCAACTCGAGCGTCAAATTCAGGTGGCGCGTTCTCACGAAAGCCAATCAGCGTTGGGATTCCCTCTGACGTCCTGCTGTTGATCAGTTGTAAAGATGGAAGAGATGATCGTTGTGGCTGTGAGTGGGTTCCCGGAGATGTACGATACACTTCCACAGAAGGTACAAGGCAGCAATAGTTGTTCCTCCATAGTCAAGGACAGAAATAACCAAAACGATCTTGCATGGAAGTGTAAACAACCTCAACTGTCCGTCAACGGCGCGGCGCGTCAACGGTATGTCTGTTTTGAATGACGCGATATAACAAACTGCAAGCTGAGGTGAAACTCGAGCGTTTAGAGCGAAGCGAATATTCACATCGCGTCCGGTGTGAACGCAGCATAAGCTCAGAATGTTCTGCAAAATTAGCGCACCAAATTGATACTTATATAAACAATGGTTATAAAAGGACACGTGGCACACACGCAAACAATTACCAGAACATAAAACATCTGAGCGCACCGTGGCTCTGCGGACCTCTCACACAACACTAAGGATCTGAGTGTCTGACCGGCTGCCTGTGAGGACTTGGTAGAATGCTTCCCGTCTGCACTCTTCAGTGTGTTACCGGCTGCCTGTCCTGACTTGGTAGAATGTTTTCTATTTTTTTATTGATATGTATTTATATATATTATTTTCCGACTAATTGTAATCTGTATTTATTTGATCATTATTATAGCCTCAGGCTCTGTTTGACTTCACAGCAATAGTAAATGATCTACCAGTGAAATCATCCTCACACTCTACATGTTGGACTTTGTGTTAAATTAAGCAAATAAAATACAAATATGTAAAACGTTTCACACTCAAATGAATTTTAACAACAGAAACCCACAATCACGACTCAACAACTCTAAAGATATTTAATCAGGTGAACAGTCAGAGATCAAAATCAGCTCTTTAAATAAACTAATGATGTTTAAAACATGTGTTGTTTCCACAGACAGAGAGCAGAGTCTCCAGTCCCCAGCTGTCTGTCTCTGAAGAGTGACTGGTCTATGGGGGACCCTCTAACCTTCAGTAATGAACCTGGACCCTCAGACACAAAGTAAGAGTCTGTTTCTACTGTAACCTGACCTGAAGAGGATTCTGATTTTATGTAATCTAATATATTAAACTGTTCTTTAATGAATCATGTGAGCACTTTGTAAAGGGAACACGCAGCAGAGTACAGCAAGCTAACATTATTTGAGGATAATTCAATATGCAATTATATTATCATTGTATCTGTGGTATGAAAGGGTTTTAAATAGCAAACATGTTGATAAATACTGATTTAAAACTAAATATATATCATCCAAAACATTCTTTAACTACTTGGGCATGTTTATGATATGTCTTTTTATGATGTTTATTAATAATAGCAGTCACCTGGTGAGCTGGTTGAGTTCAGCATTAGCAGATATAACAGAGTTTCAGAGATTACATGTAGAGTCAATGCAAAGACCCAGATCCGTGCCTGGCAACACGAAGGAAGTGAAGATGGGAAATTCATATCACCTGCGTATTCGTGCAGCGTGACACATTTCAACTTGAGTGTAAAGTCTGTGACGCTCTGTTACAGAAAGCTGTCAGTGTTGAGATTGTGCTCCTGTGGTCTCTGACGGTCTGAGGGGAATCAGAGAGGAGAACAGAGCTCTCCAGCAGCTCATATTCAATCAGGGTTATTCATGTTCCTGTTTAAACCAAAGACTGTCTGTGGTGCTAACAATATAGTCACTGCTGTACGTATGACTACATGAAGTTCTTCTGAGGGCTGATGGAGCAGCTAATGTTAGCCTAGCTTTAATCAAACCCATCTCATTCAGAAAACAAACGTTTGTAAATGTTTACGCTCGTTGTGTTGGAGTCAGACCTGACAAAGCTTTAACTCAGTATCAAATCAGTATCATTCTGTTGTTATTCAGGCATCCTTTCCAGATGTTTATTGCTATGAATTCACAGCAGATTCTCTGTAAGTTGGGTTTATAGTGTACCAGGTTAATACAGCTGTGTGTCTTAGTAGCAGGGTTCGTACGGGTGCTTGAAATCCTTGAAAATGCTTGAAATTTGACGTGGTGTTTTCAAGGTTGGGAAAGTGCTTGAATTTTGGGAATGGTGCTTGAAATTGAGATAAAGTGCTTGAAAATGTAAATGCTTTACTTTTACAATAAATTGCTGTCTGACTGAATAGTTCGCTTTTTAGATTAAAAGAAAAATAATTGCTTCGCTTCTAAAACAGCTCCTCTGCGGCCTTCCCGCGCTATGTGCGCGACCTGCAAGTGTTTGTGTTGCTGTGACCTGGGCATTCTGATGAGAGAGAGATGACTGTGTGCCAGGAGGTTGCCGTTTCAACGAGCGTTGGCTAGCAGAAGACAAATACAAGCCATGGCTAAGACGAGGGTCAAGCCCACGAGTAGCCTCCTGCAAAGTTTGCAACATAACGATGCGAGAGTCTGCGCTGACGAGCCACATGAAAGGTACGCCGTAGAAGAGCATTTTAGATTAGGCTAACGTTGCATGTTACGTTTGTTTAAGCTAACGTTAGCGAGCTGAATAGCGAACTCCATGAGGGATAATAATAATTGCAGGGGACAATCATTTCAGAGGAGCGTACCTATGTTATGTGCGTTACAGTCGCCATCGTGTGGTGTTCAGAGGATGAAGCACTCAAGGCATTTTGTGTTATAGCATAAATATAATCTATTGATTTGACACAGAGCGATTTTGAAAGCAATGTATTTCTACTGGTGGTATGTTTCGTGCCTAAACCAAATGTGACTTGCTCTATCGAAATCAGTCACATCGACCCGAAGACACATCTTCGTTTGTATTACTGGTCTGGGGGAAGCTCGCGAGTGTGTGTGTGTGTGTGTGTGTGTGTGTGTGTGTGTTTGTTTGTGTATTTTTGCGTTTGTTTCCCGGGGAAACACTCACAAGAAACACCGGCTGTTGTTATGCCTGCTGTGACGTTAAGTTACTCAGTTCTCTGCTTGTAATTATGCCGAAGCTTCAAAGTTGTATTTATCATCTGAATTTGCCGAAAGAAGTTTAATATTCTGAAAGCCAAGACTTTGTTTATTTGAAAACAGATGAAAACAAACTGTCTTTATATAAAATTGAAGTATTATACAAGTAAAACTACATGTTGCTTTAATCCCATGTAATGGTAGAATGAACACAGTCTTCCTTTGAAGATGTAGAAGTCAGGTTCTTGAGTAGTCAGCATTACCTACAAATCATTGTACACATTTGTAAATATTATTTTCCACTTGTTTCCATTGTGAGTCTATTTCTATGCAGCTCTGCGTGATTTTGTGGCTACAATTCAGACTAATACGCTACTAGAGGTGGAATAAGTACTCAGGTATTGTACTTGAGTAAAAGTATAAGTACTCAGATCTTGTAGTGAAATTATAAGTACTCAGATCTTGTACTTGAGTAAAAGTATAAGTACTCAGATCTTGTACTTGAGTAAAAGTAGAAGTACTCAGATCTTGTACTTAGCAAAAGTAGAAGTACCAGAGTGTAGGAATACTCTGTCACAGTAAAAGTCCTGCATTCAAAATATTCCTCAAGTGAAAGTAGAAAAGTATTCTCATCAAAATATAGTGAAAGTAGCGACAGTGAAAGTAGTCGTTGTGCAGATTGGTCCATTTCAGAATATATGATATGTTTTATAATGATTGATCATTAAAGTGTTCTCAAAGCTGGTAAAGGTGCAGCTAGTTTGAAGGACTTTGTATACTGCAGGGTAGCTGGTGGATTCACTCCAGGTGGAACTAAAGTCTGATTCAACACTTGATTAGATTTCACATCATTCATCCAGATCTGTGAAGTAACTAAAGGTATTAAATACATGTAGTGGAGTAGAAGTACACCATGTACCTCTGAACTGTAGTGGAGTAGAAGTACACCATGTACCTCTGAACTGTAGTGGAGTAGAAGTACACCATGTACCTCTGAACTGTAGTGGAGTAGAAGTACACCATGTACCTCTGAACTGTAGTGGAGTAGAAGTACACCATGTACCTCTGAACTGTAGAGGAGTAGAAGTACACCATGTACCTCTGAACTGTAGTGGAGTAGAAGTACACCATGTACCTCTGAACTGTAGTGGAGTAGAAGTACACCATGTACCTCTGAACTGTAGTGGAGTAGAAGTACACCATGTACCTCTGAACTGTAGAGGAGTAGAAGTACACCATGTACCTCTGAACTGTAGTGGAGTAGAAGTACACCATGTACCTCTGACTTATGTTTACTGCCAACCTAAAAGTACCTCAAAAATAGTAATCAATAATGTATTGAAAAGTTATTTGGCTGATTGTTGTATATCGGCTCAGACAGGTTTATATGGGACATACAGATGGGTCACTGATTTTGAAATATTAAACTTAGTTTTATTTTCATAAATTTTTCATCCTCGTGTAGAAGGCTATCACAAAACACACATGTGGTTGTTTATAGCATAAAGAACATCTGATTTAATGTGAGGTAGGGAAATAATCATTTGAGTATGTGTATATAAATATGTAATTTACAACAGCTGTAAGCTGCTTGAAAAGCTGGAAAATGCACCTTGAAAATGCTTGAAAAGTGCTTGAATTTGACTTTGGAAAAGGTGTAAGAACCCTGTAGTAGATGCAGTGCACTTGTGCTCCTCTGGGGGATGTCATGAATCCAGACAGGATGCTCTTTGGTTTCATGATAATATGAATTGTAAGCTATCTACCTATACCACAAAGGTATATTGTAGAGACCTTTTTTTAAATATCAAACTAGAATGTTCCCCCTTGTTGTACCTTTGGGGATAATCAGCTCCCCTAAAGTGCTATAAAGGATGTGTTCCTCTCCACAGAGGGAAGAGGCAGAGTGGTGTTCCTGTGGAGGAGCAGCTGTCCAGCTGTGCTCTGTGTCAGGACGTCCTGAAGGATCCAGTCTCTACCAGCTGTGGACACTGGTTCTGCAGACAGTGCATCACCTCATACTGGGAGCAGAGACCTCCATCAGGAGACCCCTCCTGTCCCCAGTGTGGAGAGAGATCCAGAACCAGAGCTGGCCTGCAGACAGCCAGTCAGAGCAGCTCTGTGCGAGGTAAGAGGCCGAACTCATGCAGCGTCTTATTCCTCTTCCTGGTTCATTTGGTCTGGATCAGGTATTCTGTTGTAGAGCATAGACATTAAGCTGTTTGCAAAACATTTCAACTCAGTCTATTTTTTATTAGTTTTATTGTTAGATTCTCAAAAGCATTTCCTGATTCTCTCGTGTTCCCTTCTCTTCCAGCAGATAGTGGTCTGCAGGAGGTTCTAGATGAACATAGGCTCAGTCTGAGGAGGAGATGTGAACGTGTGACTGAAGGAACTGATCAAAGTGAAACCCTCCTCAACAGCATCTTCACTGAGCTCTACATCACACAAGGCCAGAGTGAAGAGGTTAATACCCAGCATGAGGTGAGGCAGCTGGAGACAGCTTCCAAGAAGGAGACCCTCCATGAAACTCCAATCAAGTGCCAGGACATCTTTAAAGCCTTACCTGACCAGCAGACTCTCATCAGAGCGGTCCTGACCAACGGAGTCGCTGGAGTTGGAAAAACCTTCTCAGTGCAGAAGTTCACTCTGGACTGGGCCGAGGGTTTGGGAAACCAAGATGTCAGTCTGGTGATCCCGCTCTCCTTCAGGGAGCTGAACCTGATCAAAGGTGAGCAGTACAGTCTTCTCAGGCTGCTCCATGTTTTCCATCCCACCTTACAGAAGGTCACAGCAGAGCAGCTGGCTGTCTGCAAAGTGCTGTTCATCTTTGACGGCCTGGATGAAAGCAGACTTTCTCTGGACTTCAGAAACAATGAGGTTGTGTCTGATGTCTCTCAGCAGTCCTCAGTCAACGTGCTGCTGACAAACCTCATCAGGGGGAAGCTGCTTCCCTCGGCTCTCGTCTGGATAACTTCCAGACCTGCAGCGGCCAATCAGATCCCTCCTGAGTGTGTGGACAGGGTGACAGAAGTACGAGGCTTCACTGACGCCCAGAAGGAGGAGTACTTCAGGAGGAGATTCAGAAAGAAGAAGAAGGCCAGCAAAATCATCTCTCACATCAAGGGCTCCAGGAGCCTCCACATCATGTGCATGATCCCAGTCTTCTGCTGGATCACTGCTGCAGTTCTGGATCACATGTTGACTACAGACCAGAGAGGAGAGCTGCCCCAGACCCTCACTGACATGTACTCACACTTCCTGCTGGTCCAGACCAAGAGGAAGAAGCAGAAGTATGAAGCGGGAAATGAGACGAGTCCACAGCAGCTGACGGAGGCTGACAGGAAGGTTCTTCTGAAGCTGGGGAGGCTGGCGTTTGAACATCTGGAGAAAGGAAACATCATGTTCTACCAAGAAGACCTGCAGCGCTGTGGCCTTGATGTCACCGAGGCCTTGGTGCACTCAGGAGTTTGTACACAGATCTTCAAAAGAGAGAGTGTGATCTTCCAGAAAACAGTCTACTGCTTTGTTCATCTGAGCATTCAGGAGTTTCTGGCTGCAGTCTACATGTTCCACTGTTACACCAACAGAGACACAGAGGTACTGAAGGACTTCCTGCAGGGAGACTGGCCCTATGAGAACAGTGAAAACAGAGATCAGGATTACCCATCCCTGGATGTCTTCCTGAAGGGAGCCATGGGGAAATCCCTCTGTAGTAAAAATGGCCACCTGGACCTGTTTGTCCGCTTTCTCCACGGCCTCTCTCTGGAGTCCAACCAGAGTCTGTTAGGAGGCCTGCTGGGTCGCACAGGCAAGCGTCCAACAATCATCCAGAGAATCTTCAAAGGCCAGCTGGGTCGCAAAGACATCAGACCAGAAACCATCCAGAGAGCCATCAAGAACCTGAAGAAGATGAGCAGTGATGAAATCTCTCCTGACAGGAGCATCAACATCTTCCACTGTCTGACAGAGATGAAGGACCACTCAGTACATCAGAAGATCACAGAGTTCCTGAAGTCAGAGAACAGATCAGGGAAGGAACTCTCTGTGATCCACTGCTCTGCTCTGGCCTACATGCTGCAGATGTCAGAGGAGGTTCTGGATGAGTTGGACCTGAGTCAGTACAACACATCAGATGAGGGACGACGGAGACTGCTTCCAGCTGTGAGGAACTGCAGGAAGGCCAAGTAAGTCCAGATGTGATTAACTTTATAAACTAATGTGGATCAGGAGTTTAATTATTCAGATAAACACTATAACATTTCTGCTGTTTAAATACTGAGAGCAAAATAAAACCAGCACTGTTCTTCTATTTATTTATAATAATAGCTAAACTGAAGCGTTCCTCTCTTCATATTGAGTGAAGGAGGCGACATGTCAAACACATGAAGGACTCTAGAGGTTTCTCAGCATGTGATCACACCACACAGCAGGACTTACAGTTATCAGAGAAATATGTTATTATTACTTTCTAGTAGTTTCTTTATCATTAAACAGACACACGTTTTCATCACAATGTGTTGGAGTTTAAAATCAGATCTATATCATTTCCCACCAATAACAGAGTTATGTCTTAATGCTGATATACTGAGAACATCTGATGGTATTCAGTTTGAATATTGAAACTTTATTGTTTTGTTAATTGTGTTTGTGTTCGCAACACAAGTTCAGATGCTCAGAGAAGCCTAAACACTTTTCTCTGGGTATTGTCCACAGTAATGACTGTTACATGTCTGATATGTGTAATGTGTATTTGTCCTCTCTTCTTCATGTCTCTTCTACATCAACATGTGTCCCCTCTTCTTCATGTCTCTTCTACATCAACATGTGTCCCCTCTTCTTCATGTCTCTTCTACATCAACATGTGTCCCCTCTTCTTCATGTCTCTTCTACATCAACATGTGTCCCCTCTTCTTCATGTCCTCTTCTACATCAACATGTGTCCCCTCTTCTTCATGTCTCTTCTACATCAACATGTGTCCCTCTCTTCAGTCTTCTACATCAACATGTGTCCCCTCTTCTTCATGTCTCTTCTACATCAACATGTGTCCCCTCTTCTTCATGTCTCTTCTACATCAACATGTGTCCCCTCTTCTTCATGTCTCTTCTACATCAACATGTGTCCCCTCTTCTTCAATGTCTCTTCTACATCAACATGTGTCCCCTCTTCTTCATGGTCTCTTCTACATCAACATGTGTCCCCTCTTCTTCATGTCTCTTCTACATCCAACATGTGTCCCCTCTTCTTCATGTCTCTTCTACATCAACACGTGTCCCCTCTTCTTCATGTCTCTTCTACATCAACACTTTGTCCCACCTCTGCTTCATTCCTTCTACATCAACATGTGTCCCCTCTTCTTCATGTCTCTTCTACATCAACACGTGTCCCCTCTTCTTCATGTCTCTTCTACATCAACACTGTGTCCCCTCTTCTTCATGTCTCTTCTACATCAACATGTGTCCCCTCTTCTTCATGTCTCTTCTACATCAACATGTGTCCCCTCTTCTTCATGTCTCTTCTACATCAACATGTGTCCCCTCTTCTTCATGTCTCTTCTACATCAACATGTGTCCCTCTTCTTCATGTCTCTTCTACATCAACATGTGTCCCCTCTTCTTCATGTCTCTTCTACATCAACATGTGTCCCCTCTTCTTCATGTCTCTTCTACATCAACATGTGTCCCCTCTTCTTCATGTCTCTTCTACATCAACATGTGTCCCTCTTTCTTCATGTCTCTTCTTCATCAACATGTGTCCCCTCTTCTTCATGTCTCTTCTACATCACATGTGTCCCCTCTTCTTCATGTCTCTTCTACATCAACATGTGTCCCCTCTTCTTCATGTCTCTTCTACATCAACATGTGTCCCCTCTTCTTCATGTCTCTTCTACATCAACATGTGTCCCCTCTTCTTCATGTCTCTTCTACATCAACATGTGTCCCCTCTTCTTCATGTCTCTTCTACTCAACATGTGTCCCTCTCTTCATGTCTCTTCTACATCAACATGTGTCCCTCTTCTTCATGTCTCTTCTACATCAACATGTGTCCCTCTTCTTCATGTCTCTTCTACATCAACATGTGTCCCCTCTTCTTCATGTCTCTTCTACATCAACATGTTCCCCTCTTCTTCATGTCTCTTCTACATCAACATGTGTCCCCTCTTCTTCATGTCTCTTCTACATCAACATGTGTCCCCTCTTCTTCATGTCTCTTCTACATCAACATGTGTCCCCTCTTCTTCATGTCTCTTCTACATCAACATGTGTCCCCTCTTCTTCATGTCTCTTCTACATCAACATGTGTCCCCTCTTCTTCATGTCTCTTCTACATCAACATGTGTCCCTCTTCTTCATGTCTCTTTACATCAACATGTGTCCCTCTTCTTCATGTCTCTTCTACATCAACATGTGTCCCCTCTTCTTCATGTCTCTTCTACATCAACATGTGTCCCCTCTTCTTCATGTCTCTTCTACATCAACATGTGTCCCCTCTTCTCATGTCTCTTCTACATCAACATGTGTCCCCTCTTCTTCATGTCTCTTCTACATCAACATGTGTCCCCTTCTTCATGTCTCTTCTACATCAACATGTGTCCCCTCTTCTTCATGTCTCTTCTACATCAACATGTGTCCCCTCTTCTTCATGTCTCTTCTACATCAACATGTGTCCCTCTTCTTCATGTCTCTTCTACATCAACATGTGTCCCCTCTTCTTCATGTCTCTTCTACATCAACATGTGTCCCCTCTTCTTCATGTCTCTTACATCAACATGTGTCCCTCTCTTCTTCATGTCTCTTCTACATCAACATGGTCCCCTCTCTTCATGTCTCTTCTATCAACATGTGTCCCTCTTCTTCATGTCTCTTCTACATCAACATGTGTCCCTCTTCTTCATGTCTCTTCTACATCAACATGTGTCCCCTCTTCTTCATGTCTCTTCTACATCAACATGTGTCCCCTCTTCTTCATGTCTCTTCTACATCAACATGTGTCCCCTCTTCTTCATGTCTCTTCTACATCAACATGTGCCCCTCTTCTTCATGTCTCTTCTACATCAACATGTGTCCCCTCTTCTTCATGTCTCTTCTACATCAACATGTGTCCCCCTTCTTCATGTCTCTTCTACATCAACATGTGTCCCCTCTTCTTCATGTCTCTTCTACATCAACATGTGTCCCCTCTTCTTCATGTATCTTCTACATCAACATGTGTCCCCTCTTCTTCATGTCTCTTCTACATCAACATGTGTCCCCTCTTCTTCATGTCTCTTCTACATCAACATGTGTTCCCTCTTCTTCATGTCTCTTCTACATCAACATGTGTCCCCTCTTCTTCATGTCTCTTCTACATCAACATGTGTCCCCTCTTCTTCATGTCTCTTCTACATCAACATGTGTCCCCTCTTCTTCATGTCTCTTCTACATCAACATGTTGTCCCCCTCTTCTTCATGTCTCTTCTACATCAACATGTGTCCCCTCTTCTTCATGTCTCTTCTACATCAACATGTGTCCCCTCTTCTTCATGTCTCTTCTACATCAACATGTGTCCCCTCTTCTTCATGTCTCTTCTACATCAACATGTGTCCCCTCTTCTTCATGTCTCTTCTACATCAACATGTGTCCCCTCTTCTTCATGTCTCTTCACATCAACATGTTGTCCCTCTCTTCATGTCTCTTCTACATCAACATGTGTCCCCTCTTCTCATGTCTCTTCTACATCAACATGTGTCCCCTCTTCTTTCATGTCTCCTCTACATCAACACGTGTCCCCTCTTCTTCATGTCTCTTCTACATCACCACGTGTCCCCTCTTCTTCATGTCTCTTCTACATCAACACGTGTCCCCTCTTCTTCATGTCTCTTCTACATCAACACGTGTTCCCTCTTCTTCATGTCTCTTCTACATCAACATGTGTTCCCTCTTCTTCATGTCTCTTCTACATCAACAGGTGTCCCCTCTTCTTCATGTCTCTTCTACATCAACATGTGTCCCCTCTTCTTCATATCTCTTCTACATCAACATGTGTTCCCTCTTCTTCATGTCTCTTCTACATCAACAGGTGTCCCCTCTTCTTCATGTCTCTTCTATATCAACATGTGTCCCCTCTTCTTCATATCTCTTCTACATCAACATGTGTCCCCTCTTCTTCATGTCTCTTCTATATCAACATGTGTCCCCTCTTCTTCATATCTCTTCTACATCAACATGTGTTCCCTCTTCTTCATGTCTCTTCTACATCAACAGGTGTCCCCTCTTCTTCATGTCTCTTCTACATCAACATGTGTCCCCTCTTCTTCATGTCTCTTCTACATCAACATGTGTCCCCTCTTCTTCATGTCTCTTCTACATCAACATGTGTCCCCTCTTCTTCATATCTCTTCTACATCAACATGTGTCCCCTCTTCTTCATGTCTCTTCTATATCAACATGTGTCCCTCTTCTTCATGTCTCTTCTACATCAACAGGTGTCCCCTCTTCTTCATGTCTCTTCTATATCAACATGTGTCCCCTCTTCTTCATATCTCTTCTATATCAACATGTGTCCCCTCTTCTTCATATCTCTTCTACATCAACATGTGTCCCCTCTTCTTCATGTCTCTTCTATATCAACATGTGTCCCTCTTATATTCATATCTCTTCTACATCAAACATGTGTCCCCTCTATTCATATCTCTTCTACATCAACATGTGTCCCCTCTTCTTCATGTCTCTTCTATATCAACATGTGTCCCTCTTCTTCATGTCTCTTCTACATCAACAGGTGTCCCCTCTTCTTCATGTCTCTTCTATATCAACAGGTGTCCCCTCTTCTTCATGTCTCTTCTACATCAACAGGTGTCCCCTCTTCTTCATGTCTCTTCTACATCAACATGTGTCCCCTCTTCTTCATATCTCTTCTATATCAACATGTGTCCCCTCTTCTTCATATCTCTTCTACATCAACATGTGTCCCCTCTTCTTCATGTCTCTTCTATATCAACATGTGTCCCCTCTTCTTCATGTCTCTTCTACATCAACATGTGTCCCCTCTTCTTCATGTCTCCTCTACATCAACATGTGTCCCCTCTTCTTCATATCTCTTCTACATCAACATGTGTCCCCTCTTCTTCATGTCTCTTCTATATCAACATGTGTCCCCTCTTCTTCATGTCTCCTCTACATCAACATGTGTCCCCTCTTCTTCATGTCTCTTCTACATCAACATGTGTCCCCTCTTCTTCATGTCTCTTCTACATCAACATGTGTCCCCTCTTCTTCATGTCTCTTCTACATCAACATGTGTCCCCTCTTCTTCATGTCTCTTCTATATCAACATGTGTCCCTCTTCTTCATGTCTCTTCTACATCAACATGTGTCCCCTCTTCTTCATGTCTCTTCTACATCAACATGTGTTCCCTCTTCTTCATGTCTCTTCTACATCAACAGGTGTTCCCTCTTCTTCATGTCTCTTCTACATCAACATGTGTCCCCTCTTCTTCATATCTCTTCTACATCAACATGTGTCCCCTCTTCTTCATGTCTCTTCTACATCAACATGTGTCCCCTCTTCTTCATGTCTCTTCTACATCAACATGTGTCCCCTCTTCTTCATGTCTCTTCTATATCAACATGTGTCCCCTCTTCTTCATGTATCTTCTACATCAACATGTGTCCCCTCTTCTTCATATCTCTTCTACATCAACATGTGTCCCCTCTTCTTCATGTCTCTTCTATATCAACATGTGTCCCCTCTTCTTCATGTCTCTTCTACATCAACATGTGTCCCCTCTTCTTCATGTCTCTTCTACATCAACATGTGTCCCCTCTTCTTCATATCTCTTCTACATCAACATGTGTCCCCTCTTCTTCATATCTCTTCTACATCAACATGTGTCCCCTCTTCTTCATATCTCTTCTACATCAACATGTGTCCCCTCTTCTTCATGTCTCTCTACATTCAACATGTGTCCCCTCTTCTTCATGTCTCTTCTACATCAACATGTGTCCCCTCTTCTTCATGTCTCTTCTACATCAACATGTGTCCCTCTTCTTCATATCTCTTCTACATCAACAGGTGTCCCCTCTTCTTCATGTCTCTTCTACATCAACATGTGTCCCCTCTTCTTCATGTCTCTTCTACATCAACATGTGTCTCCTCTTCTTCATGTCTCTTCTATATCAACATGTGTCCCCTCTTCTTCATGTCTCTTCTACATCAACATGTGTCCCCTCTTCTTCATGTCTCTTCTACATCAACATGTGTCCCCTCTTCTTCATGTCTCTTCTACATCAACATGTGTCCCCTCTTCTTCATATCTCTTCTACATCAACATGTGTCTCCTCTTCTTCATGTCTCTTCTATATCAACATGTGTCCCCTCTTCTTCATATCTCTTCTATATCAACATGTGTCCCCTCTTCTTCATGTCTCTTCTACATCAACATGTGTCCCCTCTTCTTCATGTCTCTTCTACATCAACATGTGTCCCTCTTCTTCATATCTCTTCTACATCAACAGGTGTCCCCTCTTCTTCATGTCTCTTCTACATCAACATGTGTCTCCTCTTCTTCATTGTCTCTTCTATATCAAACATGTGTCCCCTCTTCTTCATGTCTCTTCTACAATCAACATGTGTCCCCTCTTCTTCATGTCTCTTCTACATCAACATGTGTCCCCTCTTCTTCATGTCTCTTCTACATCAACATGTGTCCCCTCTTCTTCATGTCTCTTCTACATCAACATGTGTCCCCTCTTCTTCATGTCTCTTCTACATCAACAGGTGTCCCCTCTTCTTCATGTCTCTTCTACATCAACATGTGTCCCCTCTTCTTCATATCTCTTCTATATCAACATGTGTCCCCTCTTCTTCATATCTCTTCTACATCAACATGTGTCCCCTCTTCTTCATGTCTCTTCTATATCAACATGTGTCCCCTCTTCTTCATATCTCTTCTATATCAACATGTGTCCCCTCTTCTTCATGTCTCTTCTACATCAACATGTGTCCCCTCTTCTTCATGTCTCTTCTACATCAACATGTGTCCCTCTTCTTCATATCTCTTCTACATCAACAGGTGTCCCCTCTTCTTCATGTCTCTTCTACATCAACATGTGTCTCCTCTTCTTCATGTCTCTTCTATATCAACATGTGTCCCCTCTTCTTCATGTCTCTTCTACATCAACATGTGTCCCCTCTTCTTCATGTCTCTTCTACATCAACATGTGTCCCCTCTTCTTCATATCTCTTCTACATCAACATGTGTCTCCTCTTCTTCATGTCTCTTCTACATCAACATGTGTCCCCTCTTCTTCATGTCTCTTCTACTCAACATGTGTTCCCCTCTTCTTCATGTCTCTTCTACATCAACATGTGTCCCTCTTCTTCATGTCTCTTCTACATCAACATGTGTCCCCTCTTCTTCATGTCTCTTCTATATCAACATGTGTCCCCTCTTCTCCATGTCTCTTCTATATCAACATGTGTCCCCTCTTCTTCATGTCTCTTCTACATCAACATGTGTCCCCTCTTCTTCATGTCTCTTCTACATCAACATGTGTCCCCTCTTCTTCATGTCTCTTCTACATCAACATGTGTCCCCTCTTCTTCATGTCTCTTGTACATCAACATGTGTTCCCTCTTCTTCATGTCTCTTCTTCATCAACATGTGTCCCCTCTTCTTCATGTCTCTTCTACATCAACATGTGTCCCCTCTTCTTCATGTCTCTTCTACATCAACATGTGTTCCCTCTTCTTCATGTCTCTTCTACATCAACATGTGTCCCCTCTTCTTCATGTCTCTTCTACATCAACATGTGTCCCCTCTTCTTCATGTCTCTTCTACATCAACAGGTGTCCCCTCTTCTTCATGTCTCTTCTCCTCCTAGAGCTCCATTGAGTTCTTTGTAACCACATCTCTCTCAGAGGGGCGTGGGGGGGGGGCTCCTTATTTTCATCTACAGTAACAGACAGAGAATCAGCACTTTGGAAACAGGGCTGAAACAGAGGGGATTATGGGTAATGCTGCAATGATCTGTTTGGTGTTTCAGCCAATCAGAGACAGGCTCTGGATATATCTGAGACCTGTGATATAGTAATGAGAAACTGTATAATAGGGGAACTTTTGATTTCTGTTTCTTTTGGTAACAGTCAGTGACAGCAGGAGCACAGACATGTGATCAGATCACACCGACAACTCATTAAACTCTACTATAATATATTATGATATAAAATAGACTAACAGCAAATCTCAATCAGAACATATGTCAAATATGTTTTCATCAAATGCTTCAAGTTAATATAATGTTTCCTCTTGTTTTAACACATGTTGTAATATATGTGTTTTTATAGACTTGATGGCTGTGGACTCTCAGAGACTCACTTTGAAGTCGTGGCCTCAGCTCTGAAGTCGGACCCCTCCCATCTGAGAGATCTGGGCCTGACTAACAACCCTCTGAAGGACTCAGGAGTGGAGCTGCTGAGTTCTGGACTAAAGAGTCCAAACTGCAGACTGGAGGCTCTCAGGTCAGCTCACTGACTGCAGTTCATACAGATCTGTTTGTGTTTATCATTTTCTGAATTTGAACAAATACATTTTAATTGTTATTTCTTCCATGTTTGCTAATGACTGCATATTCATCAGATTATCAAAGAGAAGGTGAATGTGTGAGGGAGAGAGTGTGAGCTTCCACAGACTCACCCTGTGCTCCAGGAGTCAGTGGAGATGCTGTCAGTACTGAGGAGCTGTGAGGGAGATGAAGGAGTTGTTAAACATGTGATCAAAGTGAAAGATCCAGATTATCAGTGGATTGTTTCTAAATCATCTCTGACATTCAAACCCTGTTTAACTCTGAACAGATTATTAAACCTGGAGTTATTTCAAACAGGAACTTTGTTTTCTAAAGTGACATCATGTTTTCTTTATTCAGACTGTGGAGTTCTGCAGGTTGTCAGAGATCAGCTGTTCTGCTCTGGCCTCAGCTCTGAAGTCCAACATCTATCTGAGAGATCTGAACCTGAGTGAGAACGATCTGCAGGATTCAGGAGTGGAGCTGCTGAGAGATCTTCTGGAGAGTCCAGACTGCAGACTGAAGACTCTCAGGTCAGTTCACTGACTCTTTGTTACTGCTGGAGGTCTCACATGTTTCATTAGTTATTCAACTTGTTCTTCTACATATATATAACATCCATACGTTTGTAAATGTTGTTTTGTTCACATTTGTATTTCTCTAAATGTAGTCTGCAGTCATAACAGTTGATTGTTTCCTAAAGAAACTATTATTCTTCCACTGCTAGTTGTTCAAGTAAATGTATGTTTTCTTTAGTAGATGCTCTGAATAAAGAAGGTCCTCTGAACTAATATTAGTTTTACATAAAGTGTACTTTGTGACATAGAAATGTTTATGTTCCCAATAGGGATTCACGATCTGGTGAAAAAGTCATATTGAGATTATTGTGGACAATGTTGTGATTTGTGATTGAATGAACAAAGTGTAATATGGACTTGGTCAGGGAAAGGGAAGAGCACAGACAAATGATCATTTTGAAATCTGTGTTTCTCAAAGAATCATAAACAAATACAACAACAACAATATCTGAGCAGTAGGCTACTGTTTGAAAATAACTTAGAATCTGATAAAATCAAATAAATACCAAAATATATCTTCCTTGAAAATAAAGGTTTTCTCTGCATACTTTCTGCACTACTATCCAGAAAATATAAGAACACATGCACATGTTCATTAAATAAGACATCTGGATGCCCAAACAAATGAGGATGCAACAGAGAAAAGAGCAAGTAACAACATGGGGCATATTTAGTGTAACCTCTACAACTGGAACAACATATATGTTAAATAAAAGTGATACCCAAAGTATCGCCATATTACAGATGGAGCATTATTTTTGGCCACCAATGAACCTGAAAAGGATATTGCATTGTTTTTGTTACTTTCATTGCTATTGTATACATTTCTTAAGTGCAATTTAACTCAACTTCCTGTTTTATTTAGACATGCTTTTATTTAGAAGGCGACTTTGCGCTATTAACAGGAAGCTGCTGTTCCCAAAGAAAAGAACTTGATGGAGATGAACGGAGATAAAGTACAGACATTAACGGAGATATCTACATTTAAATACGGCGATATCAAAATAAAAAGTTAACATTAAAGTATTAGCAAGAGGCACAAGGTTAGTGTTAACTGATATAAACTTGTGTCCTGATTCGTTAAATACTGTTTTATAACTTTGCGGTTCACTTGTTTAATGGTTTGCTAAAGTGATGCTAATATGGATGAAGCTTAACTGTAGTTGTTGTGTTGTGTCTTTGTGTAGCTCTTACGTTGATTTTTGGAGTTTTCAATACATTAGAAATCATCAGTCAAGTGTACGACCATCTTTCGGAGGGATGTGCTTCACTTGGTGTTCCGGTTTCCTGTTGTTAGCATTCCAGCTTCACAGTAGCAGCTAGTGCGTTCTTGTGTGTGTAGTTAAATGGAAAATAAAGTGTGCAGTTCCATATTAAACACACCGCCTCCGACTCCCATTCATCGGCTCTACACCACCACATGTTATTATTTAATTAAATCGCAGCCTGTTGCGGTTATGTAATCGCACAAGCTGATATCGTGATTTCGATTCGATTAATCGTGCAGCCCTAGTTCCCAATCATTTAGACGTGTTTTCACAGATAATAAACAGAAGGCTGATATAATGAGTATCCTCAATAACAGAATGACGGTCACTGTTATTCAGGGAAAGATCATTGATTAGGACGCAGTAATGATGAGCTGCACATTTCAGACCTGAACATCTGACTGGATTATAAACTGATTTTTATCCTCATCATGTTTTCTTTATTCAGACTGTGGAGCTGCAGTTTGTCAGAGATCAGCTGTTCTGCTCTGGCCTCAGCTCTGAAGTCCAACATCCATCTGAGAGATCTGGACCTGAGTCTCAACGCTCTGAAGGATTCAGGAGTGGAGCTGCTGAGAGATCTTCTGGAGAGTCCAGACTGCAGACTGGAGGACTCTCAGGTCAGTTCACTGACTCTCTGTTACTGCTGGAGGTCTCACATGTTTCATTAGTTGTTCAACTTGTTCTTCTACATATATATAACATCCATACGTTTGTAAATGTTGTTTTGTTCACATTTGTGTTTCTCTAAATGTAGTCTGCAGTCATAACAGTTGATTGTTTCCTAAAGAAACTATTATTCTTCCACTGCTAGTTGTTCAAGTAAATGTATGTTTTCTTTAGTAGATGCTCTGAATAAAGAAGGTCCTCTGAACTAATATTAGTTTTACATAAAGTTTACTTTGTGACATAGAAATGTTTATGTTCCCAATAGGGATTCACGATCTGGTGAAAAAGTCATATTGAGATTATTGTGGACAATGTTGTGATTTGTGATTGAATGAACAAAGTGTAATATGGACTTGGTCAGGGAAAGGGAAGAGCACAGACAAATGATCATTTTGAAATCTGTGTTTCTCAAAGAATCATAAACAAATACAACAACAACAATATCTGAGCAGTAGGCTACTGTTTGAAAATAACTTAGAATCTGATAAAATCAAATAAATACCAAAATATATCTTCCTTGAAAATAAAGGTTTTCTCTGCATACTTTCTGCACTACTATCCAGAAAATATAAGAACACATGCACATGTTCATTAAATAAGACATCTGGATGCCCAAACAAATGAGGATGCAACAGAGAAAAGAGCAAGTAACAACATGGGGCATATTTAGTGTAACCTCTACAACTGGAACAACATATATGTTAAATAAAAGTGATACCCAAAGTATCGCCATATTACAGATGGAGCATTATTTTTGGCCACCAATGAACCTGAAAAGGATATTGCATTGTTTTTGTTACTTTCATTGCTATTGTATACATTTCTTAAGTGCAATTTAACTCAACTTCCTGTTTTATTTAGACATGCTTTTATTTAGGAGGCAACTTTGCGCTATTAACAGGAAGCTGCTGTTCCCAAAGAAAAGAACTTGATGGAGATGAACGGAGATAAAGTACAGACATTAACGGAGATATCTACATTTAAATACGGCGATATCAAAATAAAAAGTTAACATTAAAGTATTAGCAAGAGGCACAAGGTTAGTGTTAACTGATATAAACTTGTGTCCTGATTCGTTTATACTGTTTTATAACTTTGCGGTTCACTTGTTTAATGGTTTGCTAAAGTGATGCTAATATGGATGAAGCTTAACTGTAGTTGTTGTTTTGTGTCTTTGTGTAGCTCTTACGTTGATTTTTGGAGTTTTCAATACATTAGAAATCATCAGTCAAGTGTACGACCATCTTTCGGAGGGATGTGCTTCACTTGGTGTTCCGGTTTCCTGTTGTTAGCATTCCAGCTTCACAGTAGCAGCTAGTGCGTTCTTGTGTGTGTAGTTAAATGGAAAATAAAGTGTGCAGTTCCATATTAAACACACCGCCTCCGACTCCCATTCATCGGCTCTACACCACCACATGTTATTATTTAATTAAATCGCAGCCTGTTGCGGTTATGTAATCGCACAAGCTGATATCGTGATTTTGATTCGATTAATCGTGCAGCCCTAGTTCCCAATCATTTAGACGTGTTTTCACAGATAATAAACAGAAGGCTGATATAATGAGTATCCTCAATAACAGAATGACGGTCACTGTTATTCAGGGAAAGATCATTGATTAGGACGCAGTAATGATGAGCTGCACATTTCAGACCTGAACATCTGACTGGATTATAAACTGATTTTTATCCTCATCATGTTTTCTTTATTCAGACTGAGGTGCTGCAGTTTGTCAGAGATCAGCTGTTCTGCTCTGGCCTCAGCTCTGAAGTCCAACATCCATCTGAGAGATCTGGACCTGAGTCTCAACACTCTGAAGGATTCAGGAGTGGAGCTGCTGAGAGATCTTCTGGAGAGTCCAGACTGCAGACTGGAGACTCTCAGGTCAGTTCACTGACTCTCTGTTACTGCTGGAGGTCTCACATGTTTCATTAGTTGTTCAACTTGTTCTTCTACATATATATAACATCCATACGTTTGTAAATGTTGTTTTGTTCACATTTGTGTTTCTCTAAATGTAGTCTGCAGTCATAACAGTTGATTGTTTCCTAAAGAAACTATTATTCTTCCACTGCTAGTTGTTCAAGTAAATGTATGTTTTCTTTAGTAGATGCTCTGAATAAAGAAGGTCCTCTGAACTAATATTAGTTTTACATAAAGTTTACTTTGTGACATAGAAATGTTTATGTTCCCAATAGGGATTCACGATCTGGTGAAAAAGTCATATTGAGATTATTGTGGACAATGTTGTGATTTGTGATTGAATGAACAAAGTGTAATATGGACTTGGTCAGGGAAAGGGAAGAGCACAGACAAATGATCATTTTGAAATCTGTGTTTCTCAAAGAATCATAAACAAATACAACAACAACAATATCTGAGCAGTAGGCTACTGTTTGAAAATAACTTAGAATCTGATAAAATCAAATAAATACCAAAATATATCTTCCTTGAAAATAAAGGTTTTCTCTGCATACTTTCTGCACTACTATCCAGTAAATATAAGAACACATGCACATGTTCATCAAATAAGACATCTGGATGCCCAAACAAATGAGGATGCAACAGAGAAAAGAGCAAGTAACAACATGGGGCATATTTAGTGTAACCTCTACAACTGGAACAACATATATGTTAAATAAAAGTGATACCCAAAGTATCGCCATATTACAGATGGAGCATTATTTTTGGCCACCAATGAACCTGAAAAGGATATTGCATTGTTTTTGTTACTTTCATTGCGATTGTATACATTTCTTAAGTGCAAGTTAACTCAACTTCCTGTTTTATTTAGACATGCTTTTATTTAGGAGGCGACTTTGCGCTATTAACAGGAAGCTACTGTTCCCAAAGAAAAGAACTTGATGGAGATGAACGGAGATAAAGTACAGACATTAACGGAGATATCTACATTTAAATACGGCGATATCAAAATAAAAAGTTAACATTAAAGTATTAGCAAGAGGCACAAGGTTAGTGTTAACTGATATAAACTTGTGTCCTGATTCGTTTATACTGTTTTATAACTTTGCGGTTCACTTGTTTAATGGTTTGCTAAAGTGATGCTAATATGGATGAAGCTTAACTGTAGTTGTTGTGTTGTGTCTTTGTGTAGCTCTTACGTTGATTTTTGGAGTTTTCAATACATTAGAAATCATCAGTCAAGTGTACGACCATCTTTCGGAGGGATGTGCTTCACTTGGTGTTCCGGTTTCCTGTTGTTAGCATTCCAGCTTCACAGTAGCAGCTAGTGCGTTCTTGTGTGTGTAGTTAAATGGAAAATAAAGTGTGCAGTTCCATATTAAACACACCGCCTCCGACTCCCATTCATCGGCTCTACACCACCACATGTTATTATTTAATTAAATCGCAGCCTGTTGCGGTTATGTAATCGCACAAGCTGATATCGTGATTGCGATTCGATTAATCGTGCAGCCCTAGTTCCCAATCATTTAGATGTGTTTTCACAGATAATAAACAGAAGGCTGATATAATGAGTATCCTCAATAACAGAATGACGGTCACTGTTATTCAGGGAAAGATCATTGATTAGGACGCAGTAATGATGAGCTGCACATTTCAGACCTGAACATCTGACTGGATTATAAACTGATTTTTATCCTCATCATGTTTTCTTTATTCAGACTGAGGCGCTGCAGTTTGTCAGAGATCAGCTGTTCTGCTCTGGCCTCAGCTCTGAAGTCCAACATCCATCTGAGAGATCTGGACCTGAGTGAGAACGCTCTGAAGGATTCAGGAGTGAAGCTGCTGAGAGATCTTCTGGAGAGTCCAGACTGCAGACTGGAGACCCTCAGGTCAGTAAGGGGTCTCTGCTGGTTCAGCAGTATTGTATGAAACACAGGGAGGTGTTTCTCTCTCTGGGGAAACAGATCAGTGATGTTACCCACTGACTGCAGGCTCTTTCATTCTTCCATCAACTATAGAAGGCCAGCTGGAAATGCACACATTTATATATATTATTATTTATTTATAGCCACTGTCATTTTATTTTGTATATATTGATTGTTGTATTTTTGTATTTAGGTCTTAATGTAAACATGTGTCTTTGATTCTGTGTGTATATATATATAAATATTTGCACACATATTTTTTATATACATATGTTTTTATATTCTGGATTGTGGGAAACAGTATTTCGATCTCTCTGTCTGTGCACACAAACTGGAAGATTGACACTAAAGCTGACTTTGACTTGACATTTAGTAATCAACTCTCTCACAGACAAATGGGATTTGACAGAAGAGTGGAAAAGGTAGTCTGTTTTTATGGGATGTTTTTAGTTTCTAGACTAATGACTGGTTGCTTCCTGTAATGCAGCTGAGAGCAGTCAGTCGTAGTGTTTGCAGAGAAGATATGATGGGATGTAAAGCATGAGATCAGTCAGGACTCTGAAGCTGACTGACTCAAAGAACAAACACTTATTTTAAACTGGATCTAAAACTGTTGGATTGTGTTCATCCCTACAGGATCAGACGTGATGAGACGATCAGAGCCAAGATCCAGAAGACCTGTGAGTACTGAATATCCTCCATTCATCTAGATATGAAACTCTTTCATGGATCATGACCTCAGAGGAAAACAACACTCTTGTTTTTCTCTCTTCATCATTCTGGCTGTTTCTCTTCATGTTTTATTATTATCATCATTATTCTCTCTCTCTCTCCTTCTCCTCTCAGGTGACAGGAAGTGAAGACACACAGAAAGGTGAGAGGTGAAGTTTGTTTATTGAGGTTTCACCGCGGAATAAATGTAGTTATTGGTTATGGTATTTCTGGAGAAAGAAAGTCCTGCATTCAAAATGTTCCTCAAGTAAAAGTAGAAAAGTATTCTCATCAAAATATAGTGAAAGTAGCGACAGTAAAAGTAGTCGTTGTGCAGATTGGTCCATTTCAGAATAATATATATGATATGTTTTATAATGATTGATCATGAAAGTGTTCTCAAAGCTGGTGAAGGTGCAGCTAGTTTGAATGACTTTGTATACTGCAGGGTAGCTGGTGGATTTACTCCAGGTGGAACTAAAGTCTGATTCAACACTTGATTAGATTTCACATCATTCATCCACATCTGTGAAGTAACTAAAGGTATTAAATACATGTAGTGGAGGAAAAGTACACCATGTACCTCTGAACTGGAGTGGAGTAGAAGTACACAGTAGCATAACATGGCAATACTCAAGTAAAGTACAAGTACATCAAAATGGTACTTAAGTACAGTACTTGAGTAAATATACTTAGTGTTAGAGAATAATTCTGTCTTACTCCTGAGATATTTAACCTTTTTTGCCTGTTGACGTTTATGACCAACCCTGACTCTGTTATCTCCTTTAAGGAATGTGCTGCTGCACTTATATGTGGATATTCTCAGTTTATGACCGGTCAACTCTTGGTCACAGAGCCTAACAGTCAGATAAGTGATTCAGTGTCTCCAGATGTTGGGGCTATCTCCAGTGTTCCCAGGTGTTTACGTTATCTCCCCCAATATGTGGATTAACTCTCTGTAAACTAGTTAAAAAGGTCTATCGAGAGAGAGGCTGGTCAGAATTGATGTGGCAACCCACCCGTGCAGTCAGAACCTCTGGCTGCTGTGACTTGTGATGTGACATTTTCCCGCCGATACTTGTAATAAACCACCAGTGTTTGACATCAAAGCTCCAACTCTCCTCGTGTCTCTCTGAGTCCTGACTCTCCATTGCTGTTGAAGTTTCCCTTACACTTAGTTACTCTCCTGATCTGTAAAGCTCTCCCAACATATGCAGGTTAGCATCCGGCAGCTTCTATGTGCTGGGGACCCGTACTCTACATTTCTATCATCAAACTTTGGGCTCCTCCACATCTCTGGGTTCCCAGCAGGACTCTCTGAGCTGCAGACACATTCTTTCTGTGACTTTGATCCAGATATTTGGAGTATAACAACTGAAGCTGTTTCTCCATGTTCAGGAACTCGAGTCCTGCGGCAGGAAGCGGTCCTTCTCTCCAAGAACTCCTGGAGCCAGGCCTGCAAGCTGGTCCAGAACCAGAGTCCAACCGGTCGACCTCGTAAAGTTAAACTAAACTACACGATTATTAAAGATCATGTTTAAATTTAAAAAAAGGATGCTTTCAGACTGCAGGGTTTCCCACACATAGACTCTACTTGTATACAGGTATATTAACAGCCGCCAAAGTATATTTCGTATATATATTTTTTTTGTATCCGTTCGCAAGCACGACGCCATCTGCGATCGATTAACTAGTGGACAATGATCCCTCGCTCTACGCCTCCTGTACCTGTTCGCTCTGTGTTGGGAAAATACTGAATGTTCCTTCTGTATCAGAGTAGCACATGATAACAGAGGCCCTACGTAGCTGTGTACGTAGCCGGATGTCTGACTACATGGATGACGCTCATGAGACACTGTGTTGAAGTCATGATAGCTATGTTCCTCAGAGTGGCATGATGACACAGCCCCTAGAGAGATAGACATATAACTGTCATGTTTATTGCTTACGCAGGCCTTTGCTAATCTGAACTAATGTCAGAATACTGCTTTTAACCGGTATTCCTCCATCTTGTTGACTGTAACTCCCTCTCTTGTATATAAGCATATCAAGGACTCTACTCTGGGAACTATTTGTCCCACGCAGCCCTGTGTGTGATGACTACTTCCATTCTTGCAAGGATAATAAATACATGGATCCTGATATTGAAGACCAAGCCGGTGACGAGTGATATTTGTATAACACTCTGCTATCACGTGAAGGGTCTGCTAACAAGCGACCAGCAGAAAGGGAGACCTTACGAGAAACAGAGAAGACGACGTAAACATCGTTTCTCTGACTACAGTCAAAGCAGATACTTTGTGGAATATAAAAATGAAACTATAAGAATTACTCAGAATGTTCTTTTACAAATATTTCAAATGTTTCTATCCGAGTGCTTTCCTCATGAATTATCCATAAATCTTGGAGTTGTTTTCCTGTGTATTTCATAATCTTAGAGGATATTTGATTTGATGTTTTTGTATTCGGGATTGTGGGAAACGATCTCTCTGTCTGTACACACAAACTGAAAGATTGACAATAAAGTTGACTTTGATTTCATGTAACTTTCAGATCAAAAATGTTTTTATTGCGTTTCTAGAACGCATAACAAGGGTTTGTCCTTTTAGAAATGGAAAGCAAAATGTATGCAAATGACACAATTGTTTGTTCTGGTTATATGTACAAAGGTAAAAATAAAATAAAAAACAAACAATAACGTCTAAAGTTATCCCCTACATTCACTGCTAGTGAGCCTCAGACACACAAATATTTACAAGAAATATTGTTAAACTAATATATATGCATGTAATACATTATGCATAAACATAAATGCTACATACACTGCATACATACACACATACATATGCTGCACATAAGCTATATCAATAACAGATCATTTTACAGAGTGTGGAATACATTAAAAAAGGTCCCCAGGCTTCCTGAAATGTCCTGTTTCAGTATAGAAATGAATATCTGATCTTTTCCAGTTTCATGCAGGACATTATATCCGTCAACCAGCTAGCAGAGAGCAAAGGACAGAGATGGACGTTCTGCAGTTAAATGCATCTCCTTTCCTATGACCCCAAATAGAGCGGTGCAGTGATGACGTATTTTTGTAGGCCGACCCGGAAGTAAGCTGCTGGTTCCCTCGACAAAAAGCAACGGGATTTCTCCATAGGATTTAGGAATATTGTAAAAAATAAGATCTGTGGAAAACGAACCTGTTTGATAAATGCACGTTTTGTTCAGTCGGGTAATCTCCACATGTCTACCCTACTTTTAAAATGTTCGAATCATAAATCTAATGGCCAGAAGCTAAATTCTAACGTTATGCTGTAAAGCAACTACAGCCGAGTCCAGCAGCACGACTTCAACGTCACGCCAACTTAAGATCCATATTCAGACACACAGATTCTAAATGGAACGAGTTGAAGCGTTTGTTTGAACAGTTTGCAGGAGGCAGGTACTTGCTTTCAAGCAGAACAGGGCAAACAAACTCAGAGGAGTGTTTACGTGTTCGGCGTAATGACGTACAACGTCCTCCACAACTTCTGTTCAATCAGGAGAGACGGTTTTGATGTAATAATACATATTTATTGCAGAGATACACAAATGAATGTAATGGTGATTTTGGCGATTAGGCCCCGTTGTGCAGGAAGTATCATTCGGGAGGGTAGAGCCGATCCGATGAAACCCCCCCGGGGTCTAGACACTGGTGGTGGTGAATGGATAGTTGGGTCGGTCTGAAGAGGAGGGGCTTAGCTTGACCCTGGATTCAGAGGGACAGGAGGTGAAAAGGGGGGAGGGGGGTTGCGTAGAGTCACCTGAAATGACAGCTGTCAGAGGAGGGAGAGCAGACTTAAAAGGCTTAGCAGAGCACTATGATAGGATCTTGGGAATAGAGCGAAGTGATTGGTTAAGCTGGAGAGTGACGCCCCTGATCACTTATTGAGAGGAGAGAGAGTAGTTACATGGGAATAGTACATGAAGAGTAAAGGCGGTCTTCCTGGTTGCATTTACGCTGAGCTTCATTTGTCCTATTCAGCCACTTGTTAACAACCATCGTTTTTCAGACACGTCAACTCTTCAGAAATCACCAGTGGGGTCACTGCTGATGGATTTAATGTGGTAGAACAAAAAGTGATCCGTCTCTTCCATTTGTGTCAACCACAGACCTTATTTCCAGATATTTTCCAAAAACGAGTTCAAAAATCCCGTTGGCTCTGAGACGAGGGAAAAGGAAGTGGTGAAATGCTGACTCACTTCCTGGTTTTAGGACTCGTTCCTGCACCCCTCTATAGGGCAGCCAGAGGATTTGGATCCAGTTCAGTGCTGAACACCTGGGATAAAGTTTGAAAGATCTCCGTCCAGTACATATGAATGAGAGAGGCTTTTTAAATAAAGAAGATTCATTGTATTAATTGTTCAAAGGAGACAGGCTGCATGTTTGCTAATCTAATAGATCCAAGCTAAAGACATTAAAGTCTCATTTTATCCTCGGAAAGTTAACAAAAAAAGCTTCCTAAACTTTTATTCTGACAATCACAAATCTGGAGAATCTCCTGACTGGTTTCACATCCACAGTTTGAACCAAAGTCTACCGATATTTCAGCGTGATGTAGCCGAGATGACTTTTTCTTTTATAAAAGTGTTTTGGTTTTGACACGTGAAAAAGTAGAATATTGCTCCATATGTTGTCTCCAGTACTGAGCAAGATCACTCTCTATTCCAGTAAGTCTTCACAGGCTCTGCAGCATTTTGAAGTGACGCTGCACAGATCAGTGCTGCAGAGTTACAGCGACGAAGAGGAGGAGGAGGAAGAGGAGATGAGAGGAATCCTGCTACGAAGCTGGAATGGGAAAGACGACTTCAGCAGGGAGAGGAGATGAGGAAGAGGAGAGGATTAGAATAAGAGAGGCAGAGAGAGGACGGATGAGATGAAGGTACAGTAGGCGATGAAAAATATGAGGAGAAATTAAATAGAAATGGAAAGTCTGGCTCTTACCTTGCTTCAGTCTCTGAGGAAGCTTTAGGAAGTTTAGGAAGCTTTTTTTGTTAACTTTCCGAGGATAAAATGAGACTTTAATGTCTTTAGCTTGGATCTATTAGATTAGCAAACATGCAGCCTGTCTCATTTGAACAATTAATACAATGAATCTTCTTTATTTAAAAAGCCTCTCTCATTCATATGTACTGGACGGAGATCTTTCAAACTTGATCAGTTGGAAATTATTTCTCAAAAATCTGACTTTTTTCTCAAAATTATTTTGTTCTTCAAAAGTATGACTTTTTAAGAATAAAAGTGACATTGATTTTATTTCTCAACATTTTGACTTTTTCAGTAAAATCCTCAAAATTCCAACTTTTTCAGATAAATTCAGAAATATGTATTTTGTTCAAAAATTAGACTTTTTCCAAAAAAATTTGACTTTTTCAAAAAAAAGAAGAAATTAGATATTTTTCCTCAAAATTCTGACTTTTTCAGAAAAATCTGAAATCGGACTTTTTCAGAAAAATCTTTGTGAACGTTATTCTGAACTCATCTGTGTATTTTCTGAAATTTTCTGAAAAAGTCAATTTATTCTGAAAAAGTCACATTTTTAACACTAAGTACATTTCTGTGAAAAAGTAAATTTTTCAGATTTTTTTCTGAAATTCTGGCTTTTTATATAAGTTTTAACTTTTGGTCCAAATGATTGACTTTTTCAAAAATTAAGAAATATAGATATTTAAAATGATGAGAAATGTAAAATCTCTAAATTATAAAAAAAATACTCCTATTATTTTCTTTGGTGAATGTTATTAACTTCCATTCTTTCAAGGACTATTGCAACACCTCGCTTCTGAATAATTCCCCAAAAAGCTCTTATTTTTTCCTATTAGTTCTTATTTAATGTAATGATACTCAACCCCATTATTCGCTAAAAATACAGATACTGGATTTAGAGTTTTCGTGATGTGTCTAATGTCAAAGTAGCACGCCGTTACTGAATAAGGCATAAATCAAAGTGCAACAAAAAATGTTGATATTCTTCCAAATTAGGTGGTGATTGAAAGATCTACATAAAACTAAATCCCAACAACTAATGTGGTTTACATTTTGATTGTCCAGATTTAAATAAATACATGTGTGGGGTAGTTTGATTAAACATTAATATATTCAAAATGATAGACTACCTCTTAAATACCTCTACCTAAAATCTCTCGAAGCTACCTGAAGGAATGAATTTATCATTATTATTACGTTATTGTAAGTTTGCACTACTTTCCAGTACTTTAAATTAAGTGTGGCAGTTTGTTACAGCAATGAAATCGAGTCAGAAAGCGATGAAAGGATGAAATATACATCCTCACAGCTTCTTAAAAACGCGATAGATTAATGCAACAAAAAGCAGTGGCCACCATATCCAACAGCAGCAAGTGGAAGGATCAAATAAAAAAAAAAAGTGCCCTAATATGTTTTCTAAATGTCTTTTTTCGGGTCATCACTGCACCATGAAGGAGGAAAACGCCTCAGCGCTTTTGAGTCCGTTTCACTCTATGATCTTCTCGATGGCGATGTAAGTTCCCGTGATGAAGCCGATGAGTCCGATGAGGCTAATGGCGGCGTTTTTGATGGTGACAAGAGGAGAAAGACCCTCCGTGTGGAAAGTGATGATCTGCAGGATGGGCGGGAAGATCAGCGCCAGAAAACTGCTGCAGACCGAACTTTCTTTCTTTCATTTTCACGTTAGGTCAAACTGAAGAGGAACACTTTGGGGAACAAATCCTCTAGAGTTTATGGTTCATAGAGTCTCAACAATTTGTCAAACGACAGACACTATAAGACACCAGTTATATTGATTAAAAAGGACACATAATGCTAATTTCCCACGAATGCAGCCTTCTTTTATTTGCTTGATTTTTGTTTTTGCAGTGCTGTCAAAGGGATGTCACTTCTTCTCTTTAGTTTTTTAAAGACCAAAACAGTACATCATTTACAATTTACCCAGCTTTCACACACTTATTCCGGGGTAAGAAAGCCATGTGCATCACCCTGGATCTCTGCCTGTGAGTGTGGGACCCTGCTTACAGCAGTGACTCTGCTGTGAAGCAGCCTCTCCTCTGGGTGGGATAGAGCGAGGTGCTGGAAGGAGCTCTCTGTGTCACAGCCTGCTGCTGCTGCTACTGCTGCTCTCTCCCTGTATTCACATACGTTTTACCCAGCTTTCACACACTTATTCCGGGGTAAGAAAGCCATGTGCATCACCCTGGATCTCTGCCTGTGAGTGTGGGACCCTGCTTACAGCAGTGACTCTGCTGTGAAGCAGCCTCTCCTCTGGGTGGGATAGAGCGAGGTGCTGGAAGGAGCTCTCTGGGTCACAGCCTGCTGCTGCTGCTGCTGCTGCTGCTGCTGCTCTCTCCCTGTATTCACATAACTTTTACCCAGCTTTCACACACTTATTCCGGGGTAAGAAAGCCATGTGCATCACCCTGGATCTCTGCCTGTGAGTGTGGGACCCTGCTTACAGCAGTGACGGCTGCCATCATTACAAACCTATTAATCAGGCATTTTAACACTTTTTTCCATGAAAATGATTTGTATTCACTATCATGGGGCTATATAAATCAAATTCCGGGTAATTAGGAGCACAAGTGTACCTTTTACTATTTAAATGTATCTGTATTATATATTTTTGGGCTATTAAAATGACATTTCTGGGTGACTTTGTC